TCGTATAAATATACCACATCTTCTTTATCCAGTCACCTGCTGATGGACATTTAGGCTGTTTCCATGTTTTGACTATTGCAAATAGTGCTGCTATGAACATTGGGGTGCAGGTGCTAAAGACTTAAATATAAGAAATGACACCATAAAATTCCTAGAAGAAGGCATAGGCAAAACACTCTCTCTCATAAATCTTAGCAATGTTCTCCTAGGGCAGTCTACCCAAGCAATAGAAATAAAAGCAAAAATAAACAAATGGGACCTAATGAAACATAAGCTTTTACACACAAAGGCAAAAAGGCAACCTACAGAATGGGAGAAAACAGTTTACAAATGATGTGACCAATAAGGACTTAATTTCCAAAATATACAAGCAGCTTATACAGTTCAATATCAAAAAACCTAATAACCCAATCAAAAAATGGGCAGAAGACCAAATAGACATTTCTCCAGAGAAGACATACAGATGGCCAATAGGCACATGAAAAGATGTTCATCACTAATTATCAGAGAAATGCAAATCAAAACTGCAAACTGGTATCACCTCACACTAGTCAGAAGGACAACCATCAAAGTATCTGCAAATAATAAATGCTGGAGAGGGTGTGGAGAAAAGGGAACTGGTGCAGCCACTATGGAAAACAGTATGGAGAAAAATTGTAAATAGAATTTCCATATGACCCATTAATTTCAATTCTAGGTATTTATCCAAAGAAAAAGAAAGCACTAATTCAAAAAAAATATGCACACCAATATTCATTGCAACATTATTTACAATAGCCAAGATATGGAAGCAACCTAAATGCCCATCCATACATGAATCAATAAAGAAGGTATGGTATATATATAATATATATATATATATTATATATATATATTATATATATATATATTCACAATGGAAAATTACTCAGCCATAAAAAAGAATGAAATCTTGCCATTTGCAACAACATGGATGGACCTAATGTGTATTATGCTAAGTGAAATAAGTCAAACAGAGAAGGACAAAAACTGATTTGATTTATATGTGGAATCTAAAAAAGAAAACAATGAACAAACATGACAAGATACAGAGAACAAACAGGTGGTTTCCAGAGGAGAGGGGGCTATGGGGAGGGAAGAAATAGGTGAGGGAGATTAAGAGTTATAAACCTCCAGGTGCAAAATAAATGAGTCAAGAGTATGAAATGTACAGTATGGGGAATATGATCCATAACCACATAGTATCTTTTTATGGCGACAAACCAGACCTATTGTGGGGATTATTCTGAAATGTATAGAAATATCGAATTACTATATTGTATAATAGGAACTAATATAGTGTTGTAGGTCACTTCTACTTCAAAAACAGATTCATAGAAAAAGATATTTGTGGTTACCAGAGGTGGGCATAAGGGGAGGGAAAATTGAATGAAGACAGTCAAAAGGTGAAAACTTCCAGTTATAAGAAAAATAAGTACTAGAGATATAATGCACATGATAAATATAATTAACACTGCTGTGTGTTACATATGAAAGCTGTTAAGACAGCAAATTGGCAAATTGTGAGTTCTCATTTCAAGGAAAAATTTTCTATTTCTTTAATTTTGTATCTATATGAGATGATGGATGTTTGCTAAACTTGTAATAATTATTTCGTGATGTATGTAAGGCAAATCATTACACTGTTGCACACCTTAAACTTGTCCACTGCTGTATTTCAATTATATCTCAGTAAAATTAGGGGGAATAAAGAAAAACAAAAATGCTTAAATAAAATTAAAATAAGAAAATAAGAAAACATCCCCTAAATTTCAAAGTGTCTTCATTTTGTTAATTTTTACAGCAGGTGGCTACTATTACCATATCTAACCTGTTACCATTTCTCAGGTTTGGGAGGAGGTCAATGCTCAGATGGTGTTTGCTCCAGCTCGCCATTGCTGATACCTGTGCAGCCTTTGCTCCCACCTTCCTCATTTACTGCTCACTGCGCTTCTTGGCTGGGTTTTCTACCATGAGCATCCTGACAAATAGTTCCGTGCTTAGTAAGTCAAAACTTTGGATCTTTGACATTTTCCAAGCGTTAGCTTTGACTTTGAAATTCTAACTTTGTTTGAAGTCAAAATCCTGTTTGTGTTTTCTTTCAGTTGTAGAATGGACAATACCCCGATTCCAAGCCATGGGAGTGGTAATAGCAATCTGTGCCGCTTGTGTGGGACAGATCATCTTGGGAGGACTGGCTTTTGCCATTCGAGACTGGCTCACACTTCAGCTGGTGTTTTCTGTACCATTATTTGTCTTCTTTCTTTTCTCAAGGTATAAGCTTTCTAACTTTCTTTGTCTTAGAGGATCATAGGATGTAAGTTACATGGAATTAGGATGCAATAATTCTGTTTGATCTTAGTCAGCACTTGAGCACATGCTTTACTAATCTGTGTCCTATGTACAATTTAAAAAGCAGAACAGGTAGGGTTGCCAGTTAAACGTGAATTTCAGATATGCCACCAAATTTTGGTATAGTATGCCAAATATTGTATGGAGCATAGTTGCACTAAAAATTATTCATTGATTATGTAAAATTTCTATTTACCTAAGAGTTCCACAGTTTTATTTACTAACCTGATAAAATATAGAGTATCTCACTAAAGTAAAATTTCAAATAAATAGCAAATACTTTTTAGTGTATATCCAAACTATTGCATGGGACATAGTCATACTCAAGAATTACTCATATTCACTATTTATCTGAATTCAAATTTAACTAAACACACTATTTTTATTTGCTAAAACTGATTATATCCCCCTGAATAATGAAGGGCACTATGACTTCTACTTTATATTCCCAGCAGTGAAGTTGTGCTGCATGGAGAGTTCATCTTCACAGTTTCCTAGTTATGGTACAGAGAATATAAGTTTATATTTCCCGATATAACAAAACAGAGGTAGGTATTAAAGGGGAAGATAGAGCCATTTCAGGAAAAAGGATATGTGAATAAATGGGCAAATGAGAGTTGGTTGCACTTCTGTACTCTTCTTTGATCAGGTGGCTGGCAGAGTCTGCTCGGTGGCTGATTATCAGCAACAAACCTGAGGAGGGCTTAAAGGAACTTAAAAAAGCTGCACACAGGAATGGAATAAAGAATGCTGGAGACATCCTAACCATTGAGGTGAACAGGAGAGGGAGTTGGTTAATGGGATATAGGGAAGACATGACCTGACATATACACTACTTGGTGTCCAGAAAGTGAATAACAGGTGGGAACACAGGTGTGGTTTGGGGTCTTCTTACCTCATTGTCCTGGTCTTCAGTGACTGTCAACATCGAACTAACATTAAGAGAGACTATGCTGCTTCTGAAAGAATTGGACACAGATATTTTACTCAACATTGGTGGATAGCACTTAATATTTAGGATTGTAAAAGTTGTGTATTGGTCTCACTCTGTGTTAAAGAAAGTAACAAGAACTAATCCAGTTCTTTCCAATTAACATTCTGATGGCTTTTTTTCAGGACAGTAAGGCAAGTAGAAGGGCAGCTAGTGACCATGCCAAATAGAGCATTAGGAACATCACTTATTTGTCAATTCATTCATACATGCGTTCATTTATGGTATAGTTACTTAATGGGCCAATTCTGTTCTACACAGTAAATGTGGTAGTGATCACAAAAGTCCAAATCCCTGTTTTGTGGCCTTTGCATTACAAGTTCCAAGAGAATGACTGGGTGAAAATGCTTCTTTCTTTCATTTTCCATCCCAAGTATGGAAGGCAGATGTTGCTGTACATCATAAAGTAAACCATTCATCATGTCGTGAACATATAAGTTATTTATTGAAAAATTACAATGTATTAGGCATGTGCTTGATCATACATGGCAGTATGAGTCAGACTTCCATGTTTCCAGGAACTTTAATACGAGAAAAATTAACATACACTTTAAAATAATTTTTATTGTGGTCAGAAATGCATGAAATGAAATCTATCTTCTTAAAGTTTTAATTATACAACACAGTTTATTAAATATAGGTACAACGAGCTCTAGAACTTTTTCATCCTGCATGACTAAAACTAATTGAACAACAGCTTTCTCAATTCTCTTGTCCCTAGTCCCTGGTGATCACAATTCTACTTATTATTTTACTATTTTAACATTTTAGATACTTCATATGAGTGGAATTATGCAGTATTTATCCTTCTGTGGGCACTATTTGTCCTTCTGTGGATGGTTTATTTCACTTAGCAAAATGTTTTCAGGATTCATTTATGATGCAGCATATGGAAGGATTTCCTTCTTTTTTATGGATGAATAATATCCTAGTGTATGAATATACTACATTTTATTTATCCATTTATCTATTGGTGGACATTTAGGTTGTTTCCATGTGTCAGTAGTGCTGCATTGAGCATGTGTAAACAAATACCTCTTCAAGATCCTGTGTACAATTCTTTTGGATGTATAACCATAATCGATATTGCCAGATCATGTGGTATTTCTATTGTTAACTTTTTTGTTTGCAGTGATAAGGGAATGGAAAGAATGCTAATAGAAATAAGAAGTCATCTACTCTCATTTTTTAGGTTAAGAGAAGGTTAGGGAGCTAGAGAGTCAAAGAGGAGCCATAAAACACGTTGGATGGCACATCTGATGAATTTTTTAAAAAACCACTTTACTGAGGCATGATTAACATACAAAGAGATGTACATATTTAATATATACAACGTGATGAATTTGGAGATGAGTGTACATCTAAATATCACCACAGTTTATGCAAT